CTGCCTTCTCCACCTTCAAGGTGAACTTAATGGAGCGGTGTGCTTGATTAACAGTACTTAGAAGCGCATTTGGTTTTGCACAAAGATGGCATCTGGTTTATAAATCCTATCCTCTATCAGGGTAGTGGACAGAAGTGTTATCGTTTTTGCTTGTACACCGATCAATGGTTAGGACGTCTGCCCCTGACCGGCGAGGCGCAAGTTCGAAACTCGGATGGTTAGGACGTCTGCCCCTGACCGGCGAGGCGCGAGTTCGAATCTCGGGTGGCGGCAATCTCAGCGGCTACACTAGAGTTGGCTGCACGTAGCTGGAGGGCAAACAGCTCGAAATAGCTTTACTAAGTTGCCTGTCTCTGCCGAATACTAAAACATAGAAGTGTTATCCTCCAGCCTTTTATAAAAACCTAAGTCAATAAATACTACAGACGGAAATTGTTAGTGAGCAAACGTGCCCTTATTTAGAACAAAACGCAACAGTAGTGTAAATAGTGCACTTCATATATCCCTAGTCCCAGCATTTTGATTAACGGAAACTGTCTTCAGAGAGGTTCTTTGGGTGGGGAATTAGGATAGGCAGTGGAATGTACTTTAATAACTGCTATATGCATTTTATCTTACTGTATTTATAAAATTTGTTGATTGCCACCTGTAGCACTTCATGATCTGTATTATCGTTTAACGTATTGCGGAAAAACCCGATTATAAAATTGCATTTTTCTTAAATCTAGTTCAACTTCACTGAGATCCAACTTGCTGTTCTGAATTAAGATAAGTATAGCGCGCGGTGCTTGGCGCCGCGCACCTCTGCAGTCTGCATGCAGAACAACTTACACCCAGCGGCCGCGGGAAACAAATTCAACTTCATTTTCTACCATACATTTTATTCTAAAAATTTCCTTTACTGCCTATGTTACTTCCCTACTCCTAAACACTCTATAACCATCGTTTTCGCAGGGAAAAATGCTGCTACTAGGGGTATATGAGGTGAAATACTTAAGCTACTTTTGCCAAACAAAATAATCGGAAAACTAAAAAGGCATACTTTTATTGACCTATGTAAAGCAATATTAGGTTTTTTGATAATATTTAGATGGACATAATCAACTTTAGTTAGAAAAAGTTATTGTTAAGTTATAAAAAAATATCCCACTGGAGGGATGGTTATGGTCATGAAAGTCAAGCTTGAGGTTTTAAGGGTTAGCCATACAGATAGATGGAACGTCGGCACACCTAATGCATCCGTATTTCGTGCGTATTTATTCCCGTGTCAAGGCGTTTGCTGAAGACATGTCTTCAGTAGTAATTTAATAGTTAATTGATAAACGGGGGAGCAGTGCCTTTACGTCAAGTCAAGGGTATGCATTAGGTTGTACTTAACACAGATACGTTCCAACCTACGCAATTACCATTGCTTAAAACCCAAGAATAACTCTGCAGGACATCTTCTAGGTTTTAAAATATAGAAACGTAGTGATTGGTGTTGCCATGTTACCGTGTAATAGTTGACTTTCAGGGAATTCATGGAAGAAGCTAAAGCGATTTTGGAAGAAGCCGAGGCAGCGTCCAACAAACTTGCGAACCAGTTGGAAAAACTACGATTGGAATTTGAACACTGCAAGCATATAGGACTTTCAGACGACGAAGCGGCGGTCTGGGCAGTGCTAAAGATATACGGCCGTGTTGCATCAATAAGTGTACTACCCGCGATTTTGAAGAAAGCCTGTGTGAAGGAAATAACATCCTTGTTACTTCGCCTAACAGAAAGTCTCGGTTCTAAAATTATTATAAAAGACGGCACTACAGCAGCCTCGAAATTGATTGCAAAAAGCACGACAGCTGTGGTGGGTGGTGTTGCAAAGGCAGCTTTCATAGGCCTGAACGTGGCCCTGCAAGTAAAGGATATTTACGATCTCTTTAAAGAAATAGACGCTGATCATCCAGCTGCCACGGCAATCGGAGAGATCATTTCTCAGCTTGAGTAAGTTGCCATTTGCAGTAGAATATCTAACTCATTAAGCTTCTTGAATTGCACAATAAACTTTGTGTTACGCAAAAACGTTGTGTTAACTGTAGTGAAGAATGATAAAAAAATGCGCGAAAGTCTGAACTGGAAGCCTCAATTCTACCTTTTAATGGTTTACTAGCTTATAACCGGTCAGATAGGCATGTTACTATGTACAGTGAATTTGGAACTTTTGCGAAAGTGCAAAAATAACCCACTCTAAGAAACTGATTATCGACGAAACCATAACTTTAGTCCTCAGTTCTCATAGCCCTCGGATGTCAGCGAGCACCACTATACAAAGTAGGTGGGCTTTAGTACAACCCCGAATTCACAAGTGTAGTTCCTTTGCTCGACTACCGATAAGAATATTGCGGCTGAAATTCATATACTTACTCATAGCTAGATGATGTAAAAACAGATGAATGTAGTGAAAAGAGCGACCCATCTACACTGTGTCATTGAACAATTTGTAATAATACTTGATTAACTGCGACATTCTGTCAATACGAAAAGTACATTCTAATCTCATTAAGGACGAAGAAATGCAAATATGCCTTCGGACCGAAAGATTGAATCTACAGGTTGCTGAATGTTCTCATTCTTCCCTGGATGCGTCTTATCCAAACCGATAAAGACCACCTTTTATATTTCAGGGGCAAAATACGCGAGGCGAAAAAACTTCGAGACAACGTAAATGCCATTCAGCGAGCTTGTCAGGAGGCTGCCGAAGTCAGATCATTTGAAACCCGCAACAGAGCAAAGTCAAGGCCCGCAGAAAATACCGAGGATGGTGCTGAGGATGAGGATCCAAAGCGTTGGCCAAATCGCCGCACCTGTGAAGATCAGATATATGAAGCCGAAGCAGAAAGATTAATAAGGCTTCTGCATGAGCTAGTAGGAAAAATACGTCGCCTGGGTGGAGCCGTAAAAATCTCTCGAAAGAGGCTGCAGTCCCTATTGAAAAGGTTTATTAAAATTCTTCAGAAAATGTATAATGCTGGATTTAAGTGCAAGATTAATCGAAGGACTCGCGGCCTTCGACTCTATATTACGGTCAGTGGGTGGAAAATTGGTTATGAAATCTCTCGTGAGGCGTTTCATTTGTGTGAACTTGATGTATCAAATATGCAAAATGTTTTCAAGCCAGTCCCTATCGGAGAATCGTCAGGGCACATTGTCTGCAATGAGACGGACACTGTTTACTATATTCGTGCTGTAGACAAAAAATATGCGAATATCAGATACGTTGGCAAGACCTACAGACACACGCACACTCGAGTATGCGAGGAACACCTTAAAGCGATTGCACGTGTTTCTAGAATTTATGCTAATGAGGAAGAAATTTCACGTTCAGACTTGAACTTTCTGATGAACATTTCGTACTTTTATCGTGAAGCAGGAATGGCCGCCAACACCCTGGGCCTCTACGAGGTGAATCAGCTCGACGACCTATTGGAAGTTTTCTGCATGCGACTTTGGACTGAAGACGATGCGGAACTTCGATTTTGGGAGACAATTTGGCAGTGGTTCTTTTCTACCCGCACAAAAGAGGGAGGTTGCAACCAAAGATAATCAAATGAGTTATTCCAAACAAAAATGGGTTTATTGTTAAGCAACTGAGAACTGCATATTCTATCGGTTTTGGTATGCTTTCTAATTTCATTTCTCTCCAGTACATTTTCAGCAAACTGTGATTAATCTCCCCAGGAAAAGAAATTGCCTGTTTTGAAGTCGTAAACGCGGTGGTTTTCGAGCAGAGTACAGCCTTATTTGCCTCAAAAAACTAATCATTTTTCCCGAGCCGGTACGCTATTAAAACCTTCAGGAATAAAATGCAGTAATTGTCAGACTCTCCTTTGTAATCTTGTCTTTGATTATGCTGAACATAAAGGGACGCGGGGTCGCCATTTAATTATCTGGCTGTCTGTGCGTTTAGTCCCACACGGCAGTATGGGTCCCTCGATTTTAGTGTGCGTCCTTGGACGTCGCATTCCTACCCTGTCTGGTAAGACCTAAAAGGTAAGGATAACTTATTTACCATAGCTATGTGATAGTATGGTAAAAATTTACAATACCATGGGTCCTTAAACAGATTTAGAGGGAAGACAACAATGTAGACTGGTGTCAGACAGAATGCGTTTGTCCGCAAGGCCAGCGCAGGGCAGGTACACCTCAAGATGCCTCCGAAAATCACCGTTGAACTTTATAGCTAGTCTAGTCGGTGCCTTTTCGATTGTCAGCGTAAGCCTCAGATAATGGAAGCTTCCGGAGCAGGCAAGAACTTCTGTTGGTCCCACACGGCAGTATGGGTCCTTCAATCTCAGTGTGCGTCCTCGGACGTCGCATTCACACTCTGTCTGGTAAGACCTGCTAAGTAAGGATATTGCAGTTACCCATAGCTCTGTCATAGGATGATGAAATAAAACAAAACCATAGGTCCTTAAAACATATTTAGAAGAAAGACAACAATGCAGACTGGGGTCAGACAGAATGCGTTTGTGCGTAACAGGAACTGACATTTGAGTTCACGCACACAAACGCAAGCGTGCCGATTCGCTGACTCCTTCATGATTATTCCATCGCTACGTACGTAAATCAACCCCAAGGCCACTGAGTAGCCAATCACAATTTAGTGTCTAGAACGAGCTACAAAATGATGGTGTAAACATCGAAGCTCCAGGCACACAGTCTACAGTTACTGTCAGATGTGTATCAGCGGTTAGACTGTTCGAAATAACGTCACAGTGTCCAAGGTGCATTAGCCCGAAATTTGTAAACCAAACTTTACCTGAGGCAAGGTTTGTATAAAATGTGCAGACAACTACTTATTTCGCTCTAAATTAATTAAAAATATTAATGTAACGTTACCTGAGACAGAAATGCCTTCATAAAGTTTATTTTTATTGTGACAAAGCGGTCGTGGACCCAGGATCACTAACGTATGATGGAGGGTAAAATTGCATATATTTAAGGTTGTGGTCTCATAAAAAACGTCATAGTTCTAGCAATAGTGTATCTGCATCTCATTTAAGGAGGGGCATGCAGTGGGCTCCAGACTTTTCTTTTGAAAATATTAGCATAAGGATAACAACTAAAGTTGAACGATAAATTCATTCAGTATTTTCGAGTCAGCTACCAGTATCATCAGAGTACCAAAAGCGAAAGTTCCAAAAATGCATTTTAAAATCCTTTTTTACATCGTGTTTTGAGGATTCGGTATGCCGAATTATCCAAATCTAATCCAGTACATGAACAGAGTTGCTGTGCAAATCTTAACAGTTCTTGCCATTTGAGAAGACGATTGATCGACTTTAGCAGTAAATGCTTGACGTTCGTGGATGTGCATAAAAAACTCGTAAATGAAACATTATCCTTTTTCTAACAGGAACCAAGACATCTGCACTTTATTTCTCGAGAGATTGGCCCTCGGTCACTGTCTAGGCTGGGGTAAAGTTGGAATCCTGTCCAGACATGTCCATATTAGACTCGGCTCGAAACGTTCAAAAGGAATGGAAGAAATTAAAATATGTCTAAATCTTCCATTCTGATAATATATTTCGAGACAAATTCCAGCTGGCAAGCATAAAGATTCCGAATACTGCAAGAATATCTTCTCCCAGGCAGCAGTCAACCACTTGTGCCTGCTTTCGTTAAGAGAGAATTGCAAGTCACCAGTTCGGTCTTGACAGTGACAAATCAATTGGTTAGTAACCGATGTCATGAAATATTAATAAAAACCGTTAAATTCGCTTGCGACCTGGAAAGATAACTTATTTGGCGTTGTGATATCAACCATTTTGCGGCACACTCGTATGGGCTTTCAGGCAAGATAAGATGCTGGTTTTTAAATGAAAGTCAGCTGCCTGCAAAAACCGCAATTAGTAAAATTGTTTTTTGTTTGATTTCCTTTCATATACATGTATATAAATATATCGCGTTCATCGTCTCCCAGAGAAGAGGTAGAGGAGGCGG